TCCCTACTAATAGATTAAATTTAATATTTACAATAAGCGAAATGCTTTGCTGTATTTCAAACCGAATTTAAGTTGATTGGAATTTTTTTTCCGATTGTCAGTAAAAATCGATAAAATAGTTCATATTAACAAATCTATCAGCATAATTCTTTAAAAAATAATATATATTTTTCTGAACCATTATTTGAGAAAAATAGCTGACTCAAAGTTTAATTAATCTGGATTGAAACAAATATCACTTAATCTTAGATTAAAATAAAAAAATCAAACATTTTTAACACACTTTAAATATAAATAAAGTCTTTCCATGACAATACACATAATTCAAAAGGGAATATTTATCCTAGGTTGAATATTATAAATTGATCATTTGTGATCAAAATTCGCGTCCTGGGTATGACGATAAACTAATATATGCCAGCAAGACCTTTCATCAGAACGTTTTGAGGAACATGGAACCACCTCAATTGTTGGTGTTCCCAGGGCCAAGCTGACCCGAGGTAGTAGCACCTGTCGGGGTCCCAGCTAGGGGCAAATAGTTAAACAAAGATGTCAAAACACTGTGAATGTATAAAAATAGGTTTTAATACAAGCAATACTTTTTGGGAAAAAATATTACCAGCAGTACATTTTTTGAAAAAGAAAAATATTACCAGCAGTATATTTAAAAAAAAATATTACCAGCAATAAAATTTTGAAAAAAAAATATTACCATATTTTCAATTATTGAAAATAAAATTACCAGCTGGATATTTAAAAAAAAATACCAGCAATACATTTTTTTTTAAATATTACCAGCAATAAAATTTTGGAAAAAATATTACCAGCAATACATTTTGAAAATAAAATTACCAGCAGTACATTTAAAAAAAATATTACCAGCAATACATTTTTAAAAAAAAAATATTACCAGGAATAAAATTTTGGAAAAAATATTACCAGCAATACATTTTGAAAATAAAATTACCAGCAGTACATTTTAAAAAAATATTACCAGCAATACAGTTTTGAAAAAAAAGTTATTGGCAGCAATACATTTTTGGAAAAAATATTACCTGCAATACATTTTTGAAAAAAAAAAAATATTACCAGCAATACATTTTTGAAAAAAAATATAACCAGCTATAATTTTTTGGAAAAAAAAAAGTATTATCAGCAATACATTTTTGAAAATAAAATTACCAGCAATACATTTTTGAAAAAAAATTATTAGAAGCAATACATTTTTGCAAAAAAATATTACAAGTAGTTAAAATCTTGTCAGCATTAAATAACTCATTGAGGTTGATATGTCGTAAAATAAGATAAAACAAAACTAATCAAAACTCGGCTAATAAATCCATGTTAACTTTTATTCACTCTCGTGTGCATATATAATGATGAGGTGCTGATAACTTCTCATCCTTTTGACGAAGAAGCACTTCCGTCATTATTTTTTACAACTTTTATCTGTCTTCGTCTTACGTTCAATTTTTCAGGACGCATTTACCTCTTCTCCACGATATGGTATCAATGGGAATGTAATATAAACACATGTTTTGAATGACTCGTTTAAAATGTAATCATTGCTTAAACATCGATTAATCATTTATTAAAAGAAAACATTACTTTGAACATGACTTCATGCTAAATATTTGTAAATAACAAAGTTGGGTCCCCATCTCAATTATTTAATTTACATCGTATTGCTATTACTTGTCCCCTACCTTCGTTAGTTAGCACGACCTTCATGTCCTGTCAGTACCTCATAAATAATGGACTAATCCATGTTTTGATTGCGTGGGAAGAAGGAAAAAGACATTACTTGGTTTCAGTGAGAAAATGAAAGAAAGAAGGGAATCTAGAAGTGGAGATGAATTCAATGAGGGGCAATGACAAGGAAATACACGTTATATTTAAGGAAACCAGATAAGAAATTTATTTACAAAATTTACACATTTGAAGTTGTCAGTAGCTTGTTTCAGGAAAAAGAATCAAATATTTAATGTTTGTAGTTTCGATGGATTGTCAAGAAGAGAAAATGTTCATATTAAATCCTCGGACACAAAGTAATATTCCAAAATGTTTAAAACAAATTAAGAGAATTCGTTTTTCACGTATAAGGTTGAATTCAACATGAATGAAAAGATATATTTTAAAGTCCTTAGCTTTGAAGTTGAATAGAGATCTTTGAAGTTGCTCTGCTCTCATTAGAGACTGATAAGGTATCGGCGTTATCCAGACACGTGGAACTCTGGCTTTCTGCCTCCTGTTTCTTTCTGCTTTATCTGTCTGTCTGTCTGTCTCTCTCTGTCTCTCTCTCTCTCTCTCTCTATATATATATATATATATATATATATATATATATATATATATATATCAAAAAGCGATTTCACATCGGCTCGTTAGTTTTTTTTTTTTCAGTTTGTAAGCCACTGCTTTTTTCATTGGTCAAAATTAATTTTCACATAGGTTCGTTAAACTTTGCCTTGGTCTTTTCTTCAGCCCGGAGCCAATCCCT